CTCGGTTGAACTCGGCAGCGTAATGGGAGCCTTGGGCTAGGGAGGCGGCATTGCAGCTTAAGGAAGGGGGTAATTGTTGCGAACCAGGAGGCCGTTGGAAAAGTCAGCAACTAGCGGTTAGACTTCAGTTTGCTGGCGATCGCGTGCTTTGGCCGCCATTGCGGGGCTCTCAGGCGTCGAAGAATCGAAGACCCTCTCGCGTGAGTCTGAGTGTGTCTCTCCTGAGTCTGAGGGTCTTACTCCTTCTTATCCTACCCTTCTTACTCTAAAGTCTAGCCCTTTGGCTCTGAGAGGAAGGCGGCAAGCGGGCATGTGGCCCGTAATCCATGCCAAGGCCTTTGTGGGTGGTTGCCCCACCGATTGCGGGAGCTCTGCCGGGACTCATGCGGTGTCTTGGAGGCAGAGAACTGAGTGGTAATCCCTTGACTCCCTTTACAGACCCGACTATAGCCCCTACCTGTACGTCTCTCTACGTTTAACTAAGCGTATTGTCTGGATCATGTACTTTGATTTTGGTTTGACTGTCAGGACTTAAGTCAGACTGAAGTAAAGGAGTGTGTGTGCAATTTCAGTTTCAGTTTTGTTGATTGCCTCAAAGCAGATTGTGAATGAAATAGGTTGCATCCAGGGGGAGGTTGGGAGGAAGGTAGGATTGTGTGCAAGTTGTCTGGGTCATTAAGGCTGGGAGGTCCCCTTAAGTTTGAGGAAGCCCAGCGCTCTGTTTATTTTTGGTTTGCATGGAGCCTCAAGCCGCTCTATAAGTTTAGGTAGCCTGAAGCTCTGGTGACTTGGATGTCCCCATAAGTTAGGGGAAACCTGGTGCTGTGAATTGCATGGAGGGTTAGGACGCTCTATAAGTTTAGGTGTCCTGGCTGCTCTGACTTGTGAGGGTAAGACTGTGGATGGCTTTTAGGGACCCAAGGCGCTCTATAAGTTTAGGTACCTTGGGTTCCATTTTTTTTTTTTAGTTCTCTCAATTTTCTTTGGTTTTGAACAAGGAGGTTTGAACCGCTCTATAAGTTTAGGTGGTTCAACCCTTTTCCTGTTTTGTTTTAAGGGGATAATCCTGGCAGGGGACAGGCCGCTCTATAAGTTTAGGTATCCTGTCCCACTGCCTCGCACAGATTGGATCAGAGAGAAACGAACCTGGCAGAGGATCAGACCGCTCTATAAGTTTAGGTAGTCTGACCCAATGCCTCGCATATGTTGGAACCCAATGGATATAACTCGGCTATATTATATTATTATGTTATTGAGAACAGGCTAGTCAGGCCACTCTATAACTTTAGGTAGCCTGACTACAACTTATTACAACTGAAGAGAGTATAACTAAGAGATATAAACGGAGGGTAAACTTGGGCAGGCTGAGCAATGTTCTAAGTTGAGCGGCTCAGCCTTATGTCCCTTTGAAGACTAAGTTCAGAAAGGTATATACAAGTTGGCTATTTAAACAGTTCAGGGCGACTAGAGTGGTCTAGTCATATGCCCAAAGAAAAGAGAAGTAGTCGTGCCCTCTGTTTGTGTGTACTTGGCCAAGTCAGAACGCTCTATAAGTTTAGGTATTCTGACTTTAGGCCTGGCTAAGTTGGGTGCGCTCAGTAAGTTCAGGTGCCCTGACCTATGCCTTATGTAAGTTGGGTATGAGGGGATAACTCACTGAAAGATTATGAACTATTGTTCGCTTAAATTGGCTTGGGGGTGGTGAGAGTACTTACCTTTGTGGTTTTGCCTGCATGTGGCTGAGTGAGATTACTACTTGGTCTGCGTTTCAGGTTGACAGGTAGTTGCTTTACAGGCTCGCCACGTGCTAGAGCGATAGGAGTCAGGTCAATTCCTTGCATTTTCTGAGCTAAGTTTTTTTTACTTAGATAAATTCTCGCACTTTCTGGGATCTTTGGTTGTACTTGGCTTTGTATAAATCTTGGCAAGCTACTTTCTCTATGGGAAGCGCTGCCGAAATTTCTACAAATCCAAGTAGTTAGTCAATTTTTGACTTGTCAAAGTTCAACTTGTCTTTTCCTTATATCTGACCTAGTAAAAATCCAAAAAGTCTCATTTTCTAAAGGGAGTGCTGCCCAAATTTTTGCTAGTTCAGGGAGTTAGACAAAATTGGTTTTTGAGAAGTCAAAGTTACTTTCAAATTCTGGACTTAGCTTTGTATAAATTTTGGAAAAACACTTTTCTAAGGGGAGTGCTGCCAAAATTTCTGCAAAACTAAGGAGTTAGTTAAATTCTGTCTAAGTTGAGCTCAAGTTGTCCTTTGAGTTCGCATCTGACTTAGTGTAAATCTGGGAAGTCTCCCTTTCTAAAGGGAATGCTGCCCGGATTTTTACTAATTAAGGGAGTTAGACAAAATTTGACTTTCCAGAGTTGGAGTTTATCTCTGCTTTCATATTTGGGCTCTATCCCCCTTTGACATATTACTTGTCACAACTCTATCCCCCTTTGTATGTATGCGTGGGTATACGTACGATGAGAGTTCGGGAGGCCAAAGGGGTCATGTTAACACCTGCGTAAAAGTTGGGATTGTGGGACCGGGAAAACCCTCCCTTCTATCTATTTGCATCTTGGGGCTTCCTTAGTCCGACGTTGGTCCTGGGCCGGGATTCAAGATCCTTGTCCAGGACATCCCAAGCCCCAGGCCCTGAAGGGTAGGAGTCTCCCCTCGCATAGAGCCCGTTTACATTGGCCGGCGGGACACCCAACCTGAAAGGCGGAAATGTCGTGAGGGCCGAACGGCGTGTCCTTAAGCCGTTCAATATCGTGAGGGGTACCCCCCCCCCGATGTGTTCCTTCAACCATTCAATATCGCGAGGCCGGAGCCGCGATTACCACGTATGATTGACATCAGTGGTCGGTGTAGGATTGGCCTGCGGCCGCGCAGTTTTATATCAGAGCCCTGCACGCAACGCCTCGTCGCCCCAGCGTCTAAGGGTTATGGGATCGTCGGGCTCGCGCGTAGGTGCAGCGCTTGGATTATTGTAGACCGCCGACACCAACCGTAGAGGGGGAGCGTACCCCAAGGTCACGGTTCCTTTTTAAGGCAAGGAGGGACCTTTGCCCTAGCCCATCTCTATGTTTTCATGTGTGTCTTGGTTGCTCGTTAGGTATTATTATGGTTGGATGTTGTAGCCCGTGGCAGCCGTCAAAGTCAAACCTCTTGACTTTCGCCCAGACCCGGGGGGGACTTACCCCTAAGGCCACGAGAGACGACTACCACCATAGGTTCTGGACCTGTGTACCGCCCGCTCTGCATAAGGGTGCAGAAGAGGGTGTGTGGTCTTCAACCGCGCATGGCGGTTGTCCAGCGTCGAGAGATTAACCCTCAAGGCGCATGTCAGCCGACACTTGAGTGTCGAACGCGACGCTCGCGATTAACAAGGGCCGCGTGAGTATGGGTACTACATGGTACGCCATCATTGCGACCGTTTGCGTGCGCTTGCATCACGAGTCAATATGAGTTAGCCCTGCATCGACGTTGTTTTATATTAAGTTTCGCGCGCGACGCCTACTTGATTTCCGCATTGGGAAGTTATGGGACGGCTACCGAGGGGCTAGGAGCGTCGTCGCGTTGTTTGTGTTGTGTTGCGTAGCATGTGCGTGCGCGCATGTGCGTATGTTTTATTTTTGCGTTCGTAGAGTGGTGTGCGCGTGGTGTGTGGGATGCGTCCTAGTCGACCGACGCCGAGCCGCGCTTGGGACTTCAGCCCCCCAAGATGCCGTCTCGCGTGCGGGACGGATAGGCGTATTACCGCTCGTACCCCCTATGCTACAACGAACGAGAAACGCCCTCGGCTGGTCCACCTCTGCGATTGCAACTGATTAACTTTCGTATTGTGGACTGGTAGCTCGGCGGGGATACGCCCACCAATGGGAGGTGACAGCTCCTGTAAGGTGGAGGTTAGTCGTGCCTCGCATAGGCCCTATCCCGTCGTAGGGGCTCGCGAGAGGTATGGCTGGCGCACTCGGTCGGAGCAGCCTAAGGGAGCTCCGTTTGTGCGTTCGTGTCAAGGTTGGTCCAACTCCTGCGTGACGCAGTCGAGAGGGTCCTGTGCTGCCACGTGTGGTGCCAGACCGATGCGCTCGACAGGTGGCGCCGTTGCCAGGGATAACGAAAGCCTACCGTTGTCCCTGGTGGAACGACATCCGGGTATGGGAATAAGAGAGAAGCTAGGCATATGAGTGAATAAGAGAATGACTATGAGATGTACTGTAAGATGGTGTATACGACTGTGGATTGAATGATTGATTGATTGGTGGCCGGGTTGACAACTTAGTGTTGTATGTGGATGAGGAAGTTCTATGGTGAGGATAAGCGTTATCTCGAAGAGCCCAAGGGAAATAGGAGAGGGAATGCCCGTCATGTCTAGAGTGTGGGATGTCTGAGGGGTCGACCCAATAGGGGCGTGAAGGATCGAGTCGCTGAGTGGGGTCTTTCGTCCTATTGTTTCTTACAACATGATGTTTGAAGCCGGAAGCGATTGGTAAAAATGCCAGAGGAGATGGCAGATGGTGGGAGAAAGCTTCTGACTCTCGACGACCTCATCGATGCCCTGGACAAGCGCGAGAGAGCGCCAAGCAATGTCCCGAAGGTCGAGACATTTCATTTCAAAGGGGATCGGGTATCTGACTGGTTGGATCTGACAGAGCAGGCGCTGGTGGGACTGTCAGATGAGGTCAAGCTCCAGCGGGTCCTGAGGTATGTCCTGCATAGCCACCATCGGGAAGTAACTAAGGTTGTGGATGCCGCCGGTGGCAGTTGGACAAAGTTTGGGGACCTAATGCGAAGGAAGTACAGGTTGGGGGACGGCTTGCTGACCATGGCCGACTTGGAGGCCATGAATAAGGAGGACTTCTCCACCATTGGGGCATTCGTGCACGAGTTCAAGAAAAAGGCGAGGAAAGTGCATGGGATTTCTGAGGAGGCGCAGTGCGCCACATTTTTAGGGCTGCTCACAGGCTCGGAGGCCACGGAGCTGACCAAGTACGGGAAAGGGAGCGAGAGGCTCACCTGGGCGACCATTGACAAGGGAGTGGAAGAAGGGCGTTTAGACCAGGTGGAGCAACACCAAATGAGGTTGCAAAGGCGCAAGAGGAAGAAGAGGGATGCTACTGCATCCGGGACCCCAGGGGTGAAGAGAATTGTTACAGACGTATTGGCAGCACTGGGGTATGACAATGAAGCAGAGGTACAGAAAAGGAGGGTGCTAGTGGCCCAAGGCCGGGCGTCAAGGGTAGCGGATGAGGAGGCGGGGCAAGAAGACTACGGAGGAGGGGAGACAGGTTCCCAAGCCCTGACTAAGGCCCAAAGGAAGCAGCGCAATTTGCTGCAGGGAGGGCAGGGGTCAGGGAAGGGACAGGCTCCCCAAGCCATTGCCGCACCGCCGCCTGTCGCCGCGGCCGCGCCAGCGTCAGCAGGACCATCGCACATGGGGCCGCCACCAACTTATGGGCACTGGGTGCCGCATTGTCAGTACACGCCCTGGCCCAGTTGTAACCACTGTGTCTCGTGTGGGGGAAGTCAGGCCCACGCGGGGCACATGGTCCCCTATTCAGGCCCATCTGCAAGTATGGGCCCCCCGAGCTACTCGTCGACTCAGAGCCAGCCCGTGGGTCAACCGCCGCCCTCCCAACAGGCCTCGCAAGCTAGTGTGGCCGGGGGAGGTGGCCAAGGACAAGGCGGACAGGGCAATGGGGCCCGAGGTCAAGGGGGTAGAGGAGGGGGCGGCCGGGGGCGAGGAGGAAATGGTGGAGGCCGTGGAGGAGGCTGGAATGGTCAAGGGGGCCAGAACGAAGGTGGCCAAGGCAGGCAGGGAGGGGGCCAAGGGTATGGGAGGCCCCGTTTCGATAGGTGAAATGCAACTTGTTGGCATTGTGGCGAGAAGGGCCCTCACTATACGGTTTTACCAACAGTGGCGAGACGATGAGCTGGCAGGGTTAATCTCCTCATGCATGGACGGGGATATATTCGATAGGTGGGGGACGCATAGTGACCCCAGGACTCCGGGAGGAATCAGGCAAGAAGCCCTTAAGAGAGCGACGGCAGGACCGCCCGCAGCCCCAACAATGTTTAGAATATGGCAGGAGAGGGAGGACCCGGGTATGAGGGTCGAAGAGATTGTGGACGAAAACGAGGAAGTGACTCAACAACTAAAGGCACGGACCATAAGGGAGGAGCCCATAGTTGTTGAGTCCGGCGACGAGGCGGAGGAGGAGGTAAGAGAGTCGGCCCTGACCATCCTGGARAAGATGGAGGACCTGCTTGCAAAAGTGGGCAGGTACCAGGAATGGTTAAGGGTGATATGCGAGGAGGCTCGGGAGTGAGAACTGAACCTTCCCGAGGTAATGCTCTATGGGTTCGGCCCGGAGTCATCGACAGGGCCGCAGGGATGTCCAAGTGTGGCAACAGTTAGGGCGGGCCCTAGGTCAGGGATGACCTTCAGACCCCCTACGTCGCATGGAAGGGTACCGCAGGCCGCGCAGACTAGGGGCCAAAGTAAGGCTACCACCAGTCAAGGGCCGAGCCAGGCACCCAGTCGGGCGCCCCCTCGAAAGGACCCTGAGCCCGAGCGAAGGAAAGAAGTGGTAGAGGTTCCAGAAGAGGAAGATGAGGGTGATGACGAAGAGGACGAGAGACTCCGGCAGGAGGAGGACCGGAGAGAGGAACAGAGGGCCAAGAAGAGAACGGCTCAGGGAGGGGCGGAGCCGGGCCTGCATGATGGCGTCCTGAAGAGGAAAAAGTACGCAGTCCGGCTGGAGGAAGGCTTTGACGTGGAGCGAATGGTGGACAAGCTCCTGGAAGGCCATAACGATTTGATGAATCTGAAGGACATTCTGGCGTCGGCACCCAGACTCCGGGGCGAGCTAAAAGGGCGGCTTTCGCGGAGGTTAGTACCCAACGTCCACCTGAGCTCAATTCTGCCTAGGGAGATAAAGTGGACAGAGACGGGCACCATGATGGATTGGAAATGTGTGGCGTATAGGTTGGTGGACTTGAAGGTGAGGGACCAGCCGAGCATTGCAATGGTGGACACGGGCGCGGAGATGAATATCATCCGGGAGCGGGACGCGACCATGTTGGGGCTGGAGGTCGACCATTCGGACCATGGCGTGTTGCATGGCGCCAACTGCAAGGCCATTTTTTGCGGCACCGCGTCTAATGTGATGGTGGAGATCGGGAGGGTAAGGGCACGAACGTGCTTCTTCGTCATGCCCGATGTCGACCACCCTATTCTCCTGAGGAGGTCATTCCTCTGTCGGACGGAGACCTTGATCTTCAATAGACATGAAGGGACGATGATCCTGGCCCTATCTGATCTGGCCTGTGGGAATTATGAAATCATCAAGTGCCGGAACACAGGGCCTGGAAGTGGGAGGAACAGGCTCAACCTCGGCTCCTTTACCTATGAGGAGTCTGAGTACGCGCAACGGAGGCTCCGGGAGGAGCAGGAGGAGGAAGGAGCGGGCGAAGTATTATCCCTGAGCCTTAATGATGTGAATAAGGCAATGGAGGTGGTGGCGGCGCATGATATGGCGGACCCCAAGGCTATAAAGGCGTTGAGGAAGCATGTCCTGGAAAACCCTCAGGTAGGAGAAGTGGAGCTGATCTATCGGCTTCCTGGGAGGAGAGGGGACCCTGCGATGGCCCAGGCCCGAACAACAAGTCGGCCTTTTTTAGGGGAGGGCTTAATCAGGGCTCCCAAAGGCGGTACAAGACTATAGACAAGAAGTGCCGCCCGGTCCCCGTGCTTGTCACGGAGGATGAGGAAGCCTACTATGAGCGGGAGCGAGGGCTGATAAGGCGTATGCGGGAGCGTGCGCAGGCAGGACCGTGCCGCATCAATAATGAGAATGAGGAAGGGTTGATAATCGGCGAGCCAGGCTTCCTTTCGCCCCAGGAGAGGACTTTGATGGTGGAAGCCATGAGGAGGAGGCATTGTGCGTATGCGTTTAACGACGAAGAGCGTGGGAGGTTGGACTTGGATAAGATTCCGATGATACGAATTCATACCGTCCCACACGAGCCATGGAACTTGAGGGGCGCGCGATACCCGAATCCGGATGAGGAGAAGAAGGTGGTGGATTACTTGGATGGGAAGATGAGGACGTATGTGGCGGATTACTCCAGTGGGCCGTATGCGTCCCCTTGGTTTTGTTTTATCAAGCCAAATGGAACGCTACGGTAGGTGCAGGATTTGCAACGATTGAATGCAGTAACAGTGCGGGACGCGAGAGGATCGCCGAACGCGGACGCCCTGTCGGAGTCATGCGCAGGGAGGCCTATAATCTCACTTATAGACCTTTATTCTGGGTATGACCAGTTTCCTGTGTACCCACCGGATAGGCTGGTGACGGCAATGGATACGCCAAGGGGGCTGATCCACATGAACGTGGCGCCTCAGGGGTGGACTAATGCGGTGGCGATGGTGCAAAGGCACATGATTAGGGCCATGCAGACGGTTAGTCCACATACCACGTAGCCCTACATTGGCGATTTGGCGGTCAAGGGTCCAAAGGAGAAGGAGAAAGACGAAGTGATGCCAGTAGTAAGACGATTCGTCTGGAAGCACATCCAGGGTATCGATCAGGTCCTGGGTCTGTTGGAAGAACACAACCTGACGGCAAGCGGCCCCAAGTCGAAGCATTGTAAGAGGGAGGCCACGATCCTGGGCTTTGTCTGCAATGAGAAGGGGCGGAGGCCGGACGTGAAGATAACGGATAAGATCCTAGAGTGACCAGTCCCCTTCCAGTCAATAACGGACGCGAGGAGCTTCCTTGGGACCTGTGGGTTTTGGAGAAGTTTTGTGAAAGACTTCGCCACTAAGACGGAGCATTTGAGGAAGCTGGTGCGTCAGGATCAGGAATGGGTCTGGGGCGAAGACCAGGAGAAGGTTGTGGAAGGAATGAAGAGAGAATTCAAAGAAGGAGGTTTGGTGTTGGGAGCACCGAATTACGAGGCCACAAAGGAGAAGTTATTCGTTGTCGAGACGGACGCCGGGCCGACCGCCTTAGGAGGAGTCTTGATTCAGGCAGATGCAGATGGGAAGGAGAGGCCGCTAAGATTTGAAGGTCGTACTCTCAATACAGCCGAGAGGAATTACTCTCAGTTTAAAAAGGAGACGTTGGCGGTGCTCCATTGTCTAAGGACCTTCCGTAACTATATTTTTGGCAGGAGACTCATTTTGAGGGTGGACCCTACTGCGCTTGCGTGCTCCCTGAAAAGTTATACTCCATTTGACCCAACCATCGCGAGGTGGTTGACTTACATTTGGATGTTTAACTTTGAGTTGGAGAGGATTCCCGGGGACGGGAACAGGGCAGATGGGCTGAACTGTGTCAACTGGGATGAGGTGGGTCAAGAGTCAATTGAAGATACCCCACCAGTTGACGGGTTCCTGGATCAGGAGGAGGATGTCCGCCTCCACATAAATGAGTGGTCGCTGAGGGTGCCTAGCTGTGTTACGCATCCTATATGGCTGGCACCAAGGGGGTATGAGCAGAAGGAGGAGTTGGTCTTCAAGCCCTTTCAGGAAGAAGATCCGTGGGGAGTAAGGATGTTGGCTGGATGATGAAGTTGGCATTGGCAGGGACACATAGTCTGGCGGAGGAGGTGAGGACGATAGAGGAAGGCCCAACCCAGGAAGAGGAGCATGAGCAACTAATGGGAGGAATGTACTTGCTCACCAACACGCTCCTGCAGGGGAACTTTAACCAGAGGAACGCATCGGGTTCCGAGGAGGGCGAGCTTCTTATTCCTGAGAGTTTGGACGACGAGTTCGAGGAGGGAGAGATCAGGGAGGCCTTCCGTGCCAAGGAGTATGACGGGATCTATCGGGAATTGGGGTTACTCCTGTCGTGTGAAATAAGGGATAGGGACGCTAGTGCTAAAGCCCAGAAGATGAGGCATCTCTATGCAGTAAGGTATGACCACCTGTTTATAAAGCGACAGGTTGGGAACCCCAAAAGGATCGTATGCGGGAGGAACCAGCAGATCGATGTCATAGCGGCCTTACACGATGGTATAGCAGGGGGACACAGAGGGGTTAGTGCCACATGCGCAAAGATAAGTGAGTTTTACCATTGGGATGGAATGATGACTATGGTCATCAAGTACTGCCAGTCCTGTGTGTCTTGCCAACAGAGGTCAGCGCAAAGGCCTGGGGAGCCTCTACACCCTAGGTTGGAAAGGGAAGTGGGGGCAGTCGTACACCTGGACCTGTTGTTTATGCCACTTGGGGAGGATGGAAGTAACTATATCTTCGATGCACGGGACAACCTTATTGGGTTTGTGGATGGTCGGGCTCTCCGCACAAAGACTGACCCAGTCTTAGTAAGGTGCATCGAAAAGTACTACTTGCGCTATCCATTCGTCAAAGAATTTGTGATGGACAGAGGGTCGCAATTCACTTGTAACGAGGTGCGGATGTTGCTTGCGGGATACGGCGTGGTAGCAAATTACACTACTGCCGCGCACCCCCAGACAAACGCACCTGTGGAAAGAGGACATAGTACCATCACGAATCTTCTGGCCAAATGGACCGAGCGGAAGCCTAACCAGTGGCCGAAGTTCCTGAGAGCAGCTTTCTTCGTAGAAAATGTTACAGTGAAAAGGACTACCAAGTATGCGCCGACCACTCTATGGTACGGGAGACACGCCACCTTTCCCATAGAAAGCTTTATGAAGACGTGGAGGCGCCAGGATCTGGAAGTGAACCTGTCCTTTGAAAAGTTGTTCGATATATGAGCGCGGCAGGTGAGAGCCGCTGAGGAAAGGTTACAAGAGGCCGCTAGCCAGGTGGAGAGGAGCAGTATAGAAGATAAAATGAGGTGGGACCAGATGACCCGAATAAGGAAGGATCCACTGAAAGTTGGGGATGTAGTGCTGCTGTATGACTTCTCGCTGGAAAAGCAATTGTTTAGGAAACTCGACAAACGGTGGCTGGGACCCTATAGGATTGTGCGGTGCGGCGAATTTGGAGCCTACCAAATCGAAGAGCTGGATGGTGCAGGGTGGCAGGACTGGGTATCAGGGACAAGGCTGAAGAAATTCGTGGCCAGGGAATAGGTAAGGGGCCACGAGACCTCGTTAGAAATAGAGTCTTGCCTAGGTATTACCCAGGTCAGGTGCTTAGATAGATGGATGATTGGGGTGGATGGGTGTGGAGAGTATGTGAGATTTCCCAGGCCAATGGCTCAGTTGCTGACCCTACTGTGTGCCTGTTTGTTGTCTCTTGCATGTTGTGCAGGTCTGACTTTTCAAAGGCAGTCATGCAGAGGGGCGGGAGGGACACACGGCCACGCCAGAGGCTCCAGAGGATGGCGGGAGGAGGCGAGCAGCATGGGCCGCCTAGGAGGGAGCTCACACCTGAGTTCGATGACGACAACATCGAGCTCTTCTTGGAGGTATATCGGGACCATGCGGCACAGGGAGGGTGGTCAGTGGCGGAGAGGATTCACCACTTGAGGGGTATAGGGCGGTTCGAGGAGCCTGTCGCTTAGATATGTGAGGAGGCCCTGACTTGGCCAGATGTGGAGGCCGGGATGCAGAGGTTGAGAGTTTCCCCTAGAGGGCGTGATGGCATGCCCATTCGATTGGAGGAAGGGAATGCGAATGAGTTCATCCCCGCATATGAGCACTACATGTTGAGTCTGGGGGTTGCGCAGGAGGAATGGGTGCAGGTTATACCTATCTCGACGAGACAGGCACTGAGGCAGGTGGCCAAACATATTCGGGAAAGGGTCCGAGACCGGGAGGACTGTCAGGCCCAGCTCAGGAGGGCGTTCGGATGGCCACAGCACGAGAGGCACGAGCCCAGGGTTGAGGGGCGATGGCGAAGCAAGAGGCCAAGGGAACCGGCACCAAGGGAGGTGGGACTGGCTAGGGAAAGAAGGGGGGCCCCAGTACAGAGGGAGGATGAGCCCGCAGGACCCGTGCTGGCAGAGGAGTCATTCCCCGCTTGCGGCCTCCGGGCAGTTGAGTTTTGGCGGATCACGAGCGAGGATCTGAGGCTGCCCTCACCGTTGCCATCAGCGCAGGAGCTGGACATACCAAGAGAGACGCCATTCCGGAGCTTAGCGACTCATCTGGATGCATCTCGATGGGAGGCCTCACGATTGGGGGAGGGCTCAGTCGGCGTGCTATGTGCCGTTGGATGAGCCTTTGGACACCGAAACGGAGATGGATAGGCAGGGCCAAGAGGAGCCGCTAGATCTTGGGATGGCAGCCAAGCAGCCGGATTCGGCACGACTTCAGGGCGGGGAGGTGATCACGGTTGGAGACGATACCCCGCCATGCACCCCAGTCCCTGAGCCAGCACAACACTCGTGGCCAGGAGAGATTCCTGAGCCAGGTAGCGAGGAGGTTCGGGAGTCTCCCCCTGAGGCCACCACTGTGCAGGAGGCAGAGGCGGAGGGTCAGGGGATGTGTGAGAGAGCGAGGATGGAGGGGCCCCTTGACTTGCCATCGGCCAAACACGACGCCGAGAGCCCGGTTATCGAGGAGCCCGTTCCAGTGGAGTTACCGCTGGCAGTGCCATGTACGAGCGAGAGGATGAGGGCCGAGGTGTCAACGTCAGAAGGCCAGGAGTCGCGAGGGGGAAGAGCCCCAAGAGAAACCCGCGAAGAGAAGTCCGCCTGGACGAGATACACGCGAAACAGGCTGAGATGGAGGCGGCAGGGATGGAGCCGACACTGCCAGTCGAGCCCAAGACGAGCGAGCAGAGGATCGACGAGCTGTGGATCAGGTATGAGAGCCAGAGGGATGCGGTCCGCCAGAAGTCACGAGAGGCAGGACAGGCGAGCGGGGAGACGAGTGAGCTGAGGGAGCTGGGAGACGTGGGATTCTCTGTGGCCAGGATGGCGATTGAGCGCATGGATCGGAGGGTATGCGAGACGGCCGTCACCTCTTTCCAGTGGTATAACCTACTCAGCAATGAGCTCAGGGTTAAAGAGTTGGAGGTAGAGCACCTGACTACTCAGCTTGCCGAGGAGAGGGCGAGGAGCCAGGCCAGAGAGGTTGAGTGGGAGAGGAGATTTGGGGAGATGGCGACCGTCGTGGATAGGCTCTCGGTAGCCTGGGAGGCTAGCCAGACGGGGCCAGCCGGTGTCGATAGCCAGGGCCGTGGGATGCAGGCTTCGCCAAGCCAGGGAGTAGCAGTGGAGGTCCCTCGACAGAGTGAGCCCGTGGAGGAGGTGCCCTTGGACACGGCCGGAGAGGAGGGTGGCGCACAGGAGTCGCTTATGGCTATGTCCACGGAGAGGAGAGATTCGCGCTTGCATGAGCTGGTGGCAGCCATGATTATAGGCACTCCGCAGAAGGGGCCGCAGGGATTTGACGCTCCAGAGCAGGCCCCGAGGTTGGGAGAGTTGAGGGCGGAGTTGGGCTCTTGGGCCACGGGGACAGACTCAGGAGGGTCTGACTCGCGGCAGCAGCAGCAGCAAGAGGTCATGAGTGAGCCCACCGCTATGGGGGGCTCTCAGTCGTCAGGAGTATGTACGGATGAGGCAGTGATGACAGAGAGGGCTCATGAAGAGGGGTCCCGAGAGTTGGACACGCCAGAGCGTGGGCCAGGGAGTACAGTCGCACGAGGGGGTGAGGATGCTGAGGCTATGGGGCCCGGACCTCAGGGCCATATGGGATTGCCCTCGCGTCACGATGTCAGGCGGCCACAAGCAGTGCGCCGCCTGAGATTCGCAGTACTGGGACTTAGGCTCAGGGACAAATCCGTGTGTTGATGGTAGTCTCGTACGACCAGGCAGCAAAAATTAGGGGAACTCAGGGCACCCCTGATTTTGGGCGCACTGAGCCTTATGAGTAACCCTCAGAGATGGCGAGATGGGTGGCCGCACTCGGCATGTCTAGAGATGTCATTTCCGACCGTTCAGAGGGTTAGACCCGGATTGGCCTGCCGCGGAAAGGCATCGAGGGAGTTGACCTCGCCGCAACGTTTTTGCAGCATACGACCGGGCGAAAGGGGGCTCAAATTTTTGTCTATTTTAGTACTGTAATTAAAGATGGGAAGAGGGATTAAGACCAATAGGGGAGAAGGGAAAAACATAATATCCCTTAATTTCTCTATTTTTCACAACATTTAATTCTAGGGGGAATACCCTTGTTATTTTATTTTCCCGACAATTAAGTTAAAAACATTGAAAAATATTAAAAAAGGTAAAAGAGAAAAGAAACAAAAGGAATTCGGCCATTTATTTAAATTTTCTCGGAATTTAATTTTGGGGAACTTACAGTTAATTTATTATTTCCGAMAATAGAATTAAGGAAAGGGAAGAATGGTGAAAAACGATRGAAGGGACGGGAACCCATGACCATTGGGAGATTGGCCTAATTTCGCCTCGATCACCCGCCGTTAGCTCTGACCCCGGATTGAACATTTTCCCCGGATTTTAACGGTGTTCAAATACTGCCGATGGYCRAGGTTCCCTGTGTTGCTTTCGCTGGTTTGCTTGATTACTAATACTGYCGATTGTTGGGACGTTCTGAGAGCCGGAGACGCATGGACAGGTGCTACCTTGGGTCGACCATGGTGTTTGGTTCSGTACGGATATGAGGCTTGTTACGGAGTGGCTACGTCCTACGGTGTCTGACGTGCTTCAGGTACGGAAAGGGCTTGGTGACACCTGTTTTACTACGGTGACTTATTTTYAGGTTTGAGACAACTGCGGTGACTTATTCTCAGGACCGGGGCCACTATGACAGTTATTCCAGGTTTGGGACCTAGGCGGCAGTTTGTTTTCAGGTTCGGAGACGTTGYGGCGTCCTATATCAGGTTCGGGACAGGTACGGAATTATCGAGGCATGGTTGTACGGGTTAGGCGTCCGCGTGGCACAGCAGCCCGGTATTGGATTTCGGGTTTGATCARGATCGGTGGCATCGCGTTGTTTCGTTTCAGGATCGACGCCCTCWCGGTGATTTATTTCAGATTCGGAACCCCTGCCGTGATTTATTTTCAGGTCTCCAGTCACTGCAGCAGTATATTTTTCAGATTCGGAATCGGTGCGGCGGTCTATTTTCTKGTCCGGGGCCTCTACGGTGTATCAATCCAGGCCGGGAACCGCTGGGACAATTTATTTCAGGTTCGGTTTGAGACCGGCAACGACATGGGGCGAGCCATGGCAATTCTAGGCTCSGTGCAGACCGAACTGGTTCGGGACTGGTATGGAGTGGCAAAGTTGGCCCGAGAACAGGGYRGATTTTTTTTGCCATTGGTACTGCAATGGTCTTACGTGATATAGATAACCCATGCGATTGTTTGCTGGGTCACCGAACGGCTGTGAGTCCTGGGTAGCTTGGTCCCGCTGTTTCGGCGATAATGCGGACCGAATTTAACAACCCGTGCCCCTRTGCTCGGGAACCCGAGCGTGTGGTCTGCGGCAGCCAAGGRCCAGTGTACCAGGGCCACATCGTAGGGAGATACAGGGGGGGYCGGCAATCAGAAGGCAGGGTGGACTCGACAYGCCAGAGGATATAGGAGAAAGACCCGACACAGAGGGGGAGCATGCCAGRCRTACCCAGCACCCCTCAGACTCGTGCTGCAGTGAGCCGGGAGGAGTTCGTCGCGAGGTGGTTACAGGAGAGGCAGGCGGGSAMGGTGCACCTGACCCACGACCAAGCCAAGGAGAGGACACGGGGAAAGTTGCGGGAAGCGCGCCCAGTGATCTAGTGCTTCAACCAAGTGAGCGTGTGAACAGACGCGAGAGGGGAAAGCCAAGTAAAATTGATGGATGAGTATAATCCAGAATAGCGGGTAAGTATCTTCGGGGAGTGCATGGCGTGCATAGCTCCCTGTCGAACCAGCTGACTGGCGGGCGTCACTCTGCTGTGGGGTTGAGAAAGCGTTAATCTGCCCCAAAAGG